GCTACAAGTTACCCCTCCCATCTTGAAGAGGTGATCTCAGGTAGGAGATGAGCCTTATTTTTCAGCTCTGCCCTACCTCTTGATCATCTCTGAAACTCTCGTGATTGTCCAAAGAGGCTTATTTGTTCTTATTGCCTCTGTAGTTGAGGATGTACCCAGACCTGTCAGTGTTCCAATGGGGAGGAGGATTTCAGTCAGCACTTAGATGCAAGATGAGTGGAAGACTGAGCCTCTGGCAACAGCTTTTAAAGGCTGTAAACAGACCTCTTTTAGGAAAAGACTGGGAGATGTAAGTTTCTGTATGCTCCCTCTGCGCTGAGCTCTGGGAAGATAGCTAGCTATTTAAAAACTGCTGTTTTTTTTTTTCCTTTTGGTATGCTACCATCTCACTGAGCTGTGAACATAAGCCCCCACTGACTACCAGAACATCAGATAAGCACACAAGCTCCTTTCCAGGAGATACCCATGACCTGGAGTGAGGCAGGAGTGGGGAGACGGCATTAGCTGGCCTACATCATCTCTGGAGAGTGTGGAAGTCAGCCCCTGGATGTGTGTTAAATTAGAAGCCTGCCTCTTCAGGCTGAGGCTTTTAAGATATAGACAAATGAGCCTCTTTCATGGAAAGACTGGGTGCATTCCAGCCTGTTGCCTTTATGCTGTGCAGTTGGCCAGGGGCAGTGTTAGGCATGGTGAGTCCCCCTGTAAGTACTGTCTCTGTTCACTCTGGCTTTCTGGACTTCATGGATGTTAGATGTTTGGAGAGCCCATCTCTCAGGTAGAAGGACATATTAAGAGCTGAGGCTCAAACATTTACTACTCAGAGAGAAGCTAATAGTTGTGAGTTCCTTCCTGGTTGTGTGTCATCATGACCAGGATGGGGTTCACAGCAAGACTGTGGCTCAGACTCTCCTATGTTGTTTTAAATTGGTTTCTATTGGAGTAGAGTTGCGTTACAATGTTCTTAGCTTCACGTATACAGACAAGTGAATCAGTTATACATCCATCCACTCTTTTTTAGATAGTTTCCCCACATAGGTCATCCCAGAGTACTGAGCAGAATTCCCTGTGCTATGCAGTAAGTCCTGATTGTCTGTTTTATATACAGCAGTGTGTACATGCCAGTCCCAGCCTCCCAACTCCCCTGGTAACCATTCGGTTTGTTTTCTACATCTCCTACGTGCTGGATGTGGGCTTTTTTGGTTTATGTTTATGTTCAGGACTCACTCAGCTATTTCCTGAATGTCTTTGAGAGGGAACTATTCAGTGTGGAGTTGTTGTAGATTCTGTGTTTGTGTGCGAGGAGGGAAGTTCAGGATCTTATGTTGTCATCTTGATCCAGAAACTCCAGTGAAACTTTCTCAGTGTGTGAATCGTTCTGTATCTACATAATGGTGTACTGTGCTTGACTTTGAAAATATTCATTCAAGAGGCATTTTACTGAATGCTTGTTGCATAAAAGGTGATCAATTGGGAAAGAAAATGAGCAAGACTTAGTTGTTGCTTTTAAGGAGGTTAAGTACTTAACTAGGGAGAAAATAAATGACTGGTACAGGAGGGTGGATTTTGAATATCATGGTAAAGGAGTAAAATGGAAGGAAAGAAAGTGAGAAAGACAGAAGAATTTAGTACCTTGCTTATGATGATGGTATCATGTTGCTCAGTTGTGTCCAACTCTTTGCAACCCAATGAACTGTAGCCCACCAGGCTCCTCTGTCCATGGGCTTCTCCAGGTAAGAATACTGGAGTGGCTTGCCGTTTCCTCTTCCAGGGAAACTTCCCTACCCAAGGACTGAACCCATGTCTCCTGCATTGGCAGGCGGGATTCTTTACCACTGAGCCACCAGGGAAGCCCATGGGGGTGTGTGTGTATATGTGTGTGTGTGTGTGTGTGTGTGTGTGTATGTGTGCACACACACACACTCAAATTTATCAAGATGTATACATTAAAAGTATATCTTTGTCATTTACACCTGAATGAAGCTAAAAAAAGAAGGCAGGTAGGTAAAGGAAGAAAATGCGGAAAACTGGTACCTCTGTACAGTTTAGACAGTGGGAGAGATGTTCTGGAGGCTGATCGTGATTTCAGAGTGTGTTCTATTTTTATCTGGTTTTATCCAGAACATATTCACGGGAGAGGTCTAGGTGGCAATCTTGAGAAAAAGCCTTGAAGTGATGTGCTGAGGACACAACATCACCTATGTGGTAATCTGGCATAAGATACTTAGCCTGAATCCAATTGGGAGTATTCAAGCAGCAAATCCCCAGTGAGAAACATTCTATACAACAACTAGCCTGACCTCTTCTGAAATGCCAGTGTCCTGCAACATCTGAAGAGGCTGGGGGATTGTTCTAGATTAGAGGAAACTCAAGAGACATGACAACTAGATGCCAAGGGTGACCTTTCATTGGCTTCTAAATGAAAAAGATAAAAAGCTATTAATAGAAAGAATATTATTGGCAGAATGGGGGATATCTCAATATAAATTATCTATTAGATAATAGTGGTATATCAGTGTTAATTTCCTGAGTGTGACTATGTAAGAAAATATTTTTCACCTTGGAAGATACATGTTAAAACGTTTAGGGATGAAATGTTACTATGTATTAAATATAGTCATTCAATGAGTAAAACTATACATGCACATAAAACAGGAATATATACAGTATACACACACACACACAGACACAAAGATGTTAACAAACATAAATAAATACAGCAAATTGGCAAAATGTTGACTAAATTGCAATTCTGCCCTAAGTTTGAAATTATTCTAAGCAGGGAAGGAAACTTTTAACATTGTTTAAACAAACAAAATATAAAATGTTCTTTAAAAAGAATGATTGGGTACAAGTTAAGGAGTCAGAGATAAGTTGTTAGGAAGACAGACTTTGTCCATTTCTATTCGTCTTATTTTAAAACATAATGTGAGCTTCACAGCACACCATCCCATTAAAAAAAAATGTATAGAACACCCACACGGTACACAGAGACTCACCATTGGTAAGTATGTCACGGTTTGAGGAAACACTCCAACTCATTAGCTAGATCACCCAGTATGACTTCACCTGCACTTCTCTTTATAGAGTCCTGGGGTTATATATTACAAGAATGTGGCATTCTACCAGAGTATGGTTCAGCAAATCCCAGCCTCATCATACCTTGGAGCTTCAAAGCATGAGGATACACACTGCATTTATTTTAACACATGTGCATCTCTCAAGAAGAGGGTCTTTCCCTGCCCCCTTCTTTACAGTGAGGACTCAATGGACATGAATTTAAGCAAATTCAGGGAGTTAGTAAAGGACAGGGTAGCCTGGTGTGCTGCAGTCCATGTGTTCACAAAGAGTCGACACGACTTAGCAAATGAACAGCAACAGTGGGGTGGGGGGGAATCACCTCTGCACTCAGTCTTTTCAGAAAACAAGCTTACTAACAATAGAGCCTATCCATTTGACACTGGCAAGTTATCTCTTAGCCTAACTCAGCCACTGGCAAATGCACTACTGTCCTTGTATTTAAGTCTGCCATGATTCTCTGAGCTCCACAAATCATCAGGCCGACAGCCTGAGGTGTACTTTAATTTGGGTGCTTTCATAGGCATGCTGCCTCCGGGCTCATGGTGACAGGTCTAAATAATTAATACTTCTAAGCACCCAGGGCTTTGCATCTCACCTCTCAAATATGTGACTTAGCTTCTCAGGCTGGGCTTACTTCAAAAAAAGAGAAAATCCTGCAGTAGGAAATAACAACAGACATACTAAAACTCCATTGTTTTGGGAAAGTAAGGACTTTGTTTTCAGATGTAAGCATATGTTTTCAGATGCTGAGCTATTGCTTACAGTCCCAACAGTCGATTAGCTCGATTCAGATCTCAGGTGGAGGCAAGAGCAGCTGATGCCCTAAATCATTGAGGTGTGGCAAAGCTTGGAAAACAACTTCAAACATCTCCTCTTCCTTCACAAAAGAAATGAAAGCTGGCTTTCATTTATGGAGTTACCTGCTTCACTGTTTGGTCTTAACGTTCCTTCTCAGTCTGGAGAATATGACTTGGTGTGTCTACACCTTCCAACATTACTCCCCCCATCAACTAAATGGAGGTCTTCCCCAAGGCCCTGAAACCATGCCACTGTGTTATATTTCTCCTGTCATACCTTTCAGCTCCCCATTCTGTGAGGTTCACCCTCAAATCTCTCCAGACTGCCCTTTTACCATCACCTCAAAGACAGTACCTCCACCTTCAAAAGGATCATCATCTTCTTCCAACCAAGTCCTCTCCCCTCCTTTCCTTACATTTTCCAGTCAGACCCCTGGTCTTGGGTACTCTACTTTCAAATAAGTCACAGTCATCTCCTCCTATCCCATCCCAGACATCTCTTAAGCAGCCTCAGATGTCCCATAACTTGGCCTTTGTGACTGCCTTCTCACTGGTCTTTCAAACTATAGAAGTTTTACTCTGGGACAGATAAAGCTGCCACAGTACATCTCTGCAGCTATTTCATACCTGCTAAATGATTCTCAGTGGCTCTGTGACCCCGACCAAACACCTCTGCCCAGTATTCACGTCACTACGTTGTGACCCTAACCTTCCTCTGCAGCCTTACTTTCCTCCACTCCTGCCGGGATCCTATCTTTCTAATGTCTGGAACCCTGGCTCTTTCCTGTCCTTGGCCTTCATCTCTCCATCTTCAACAAATGCTCAGTTCCTCCTCCATCCTTCTGAACCCTTCGCAGATGTCAATTCATCAAAAATCCTTCTCAGATCTCCCAAAGGACTGAAACTAATACCACGTGGCCTTATTCTAGTAACTGAACAGCAGACCTTAGAGGGTGAGGGGACTGTGTCTTTCATCTCTGTACCCCTAAGGCATTCATGACAACCTCTGGTCCATAACTGACATTAAATAATTGAGCAGGGAATTTAAAAGTTGCTGCAAATAGTTCACCATTTCCAGACCTTAAGAGATGGCAAAATCCAAGAGTAGCTAAGACAGACACTTACCCATGGATTCTGAAGTTTGACTGCCAACCACCCGGAGCAGCATAGGCTGGCTGCTGTCTGACCTCTGGAGAGAGGTAGAAGGAGAGGACACCGTTGTGCCATTCACCTTGGCCTCGGCCTGGGGCTAAGGCATTGAAAGAAAATAGAATTATTTTCCATAATAAACACTCAAACAAATACATAAATTTAAACCCATTATAGATACCCAAGACTCTGAAATTATGACTTTTCCTAATTAGAAATCTCCCACAGACAGTTAAAGTTGAGAAACTTCACAGGTGATAAGATCCATGGATACTGTCTTTGTACTTGAATCATACCCCCTCAAAAGTTTGAAAGACAATACAGCTACAGTGGAATAAGATAGAGAAAATCATTACACTAACTGAAAGATGTAGAAGGTCATGTGAGAATGGTGAAATCATATGAAGTGCAAATGAAAGTCGCTCAGTCGTGTCCAACTCTTTGTGACCCCATGGACTATTCAGTCCATGTGATTCTCGAGGCCAGAATACTGGAGTGGGTAGCCTTTCCCTTCTCCAGGGGATCTTCCCAACCCAGGGATCGAACCCAGGTCTTCCGCACTGCAGGCAGATTCTTTACCAGCTGAACCACAAGGGAAGCCCAAGAATACTAAAGTGGGCACTATCCCTACTCCAGTGGATCTTCCCGACCCAGGAATTGAACTGGGGTCTCCTGTATTGAAGGCAGATTCTTTACCAATTGAGCTATCAGGGAAGCCGATATGAAACCACAAAAATGTAATGGAAAATTCATACTTTTGTGAAGTATTATGCAATAAGATGGAGAGACCACATCTCAAAATTTATAATTCCAAGAAAGACAGGACTATATGCAGGGAAGGGTCTCCTACAATGCAATCTCCTGCTACATTTTCAACCACCACTTAAATTATATTTTAGGGATTATCAAAAGGAACCAAAGGCATACCACAAAATAAGAGTAACTACAAAAAAGTGAGCTCCTGATTTTCAAGAGGTAAAAATTTCACTTTCGGATACCAGTGGAAACCTTTCTGCATTTTTTTCCCAAGATGAATTTTAAATTGGTCAAATAAAACACATTTTCATAGGACACAATCTGGCAGCAACATAAAATGACATGCTCATTTCATTCCTATTCTTATATCCCTTGCTATCTAGCACTTGGTGAAACACACACTGAATAATGACCAAATCAATGTTTGCTGCATTTCTGAAAAGGACCGAGAGTTCTGGTTCTTAGTCGTAAGAGGGGAAAGTGGATTTTTGTAAAGATCCCATGTTAGAGAGAGGGGTGTCTCACTTGCTCCAGCAGCTGCCTGAGCCTGTGTAACTGGGACTCCAGCTGTTTATTGTGGTCTTCCAGGATTTGCATCCTGGCTTCCAGGCGGCCTTTGTGTTGACGCAGTAGCTTCGCCTCAGCAATGAGCTCAGCATCCCGGGGACTCTGTGGCGAGGTGGGCATCATCTCAGGAGGCGACGGCAGTGGGGACAGGCCTTTATGTTCATGCTGCTCCTTGAGACGATCATATTCTGCCTGCAGATTCCTATTTGGCATCAATGAAGTGGGGGAAAAAAACAAGGGGAAAAACAAGAAAAAGGAAGTTGAGTATTATCACCAGATTTCTTATACTAATGGCAGAGAGATATTTCTGACCGCCACCAAACACAATAGCAAGCAAAAGAGAGGCACTTAATGAATGGTTTTTATGATGACGATTTTAGCAATGCTTAAAGAAAAAAAAACAAACAAAAAAAAAACAAAATAAAGTTTGAAGCGTCTGCCCGGTGTGTGTGAGGGGAGATGCTTTTCAATCTTCTATACTTAAAAGCCTTGTGAGTGCTATGTTTACATAATTAAGCAGTAAAGGAGTTAATCATTGTGTAAATATTGCCTTAGACTGTCATCAGATTATAATTCTTATACTTCTATTGACACTTGGGTTTGCTTAAACAAATCATCAAGTATTTTCAACAGCATGGTAGAAGAACATAGTAAAAGTGTACCCATGTACCCACCATGGTGCGTTAATAAACTTAACATATGCCATATTTTCTTCAAAATTTTGAAGAAATAAAATATGACAGTTACAGCTGAAGCGTCCCCACAAGTTCTCCTTATTATGTCAGTTCCCTGCTCACCACTACCCCTAAGGAGATAATGCCATCCTGAGTTCCATGTCCATTATTACCATGATCATTACTAGGTTGAACTTAATAAAGACAGTGATATTCAGCTTTTTTAAACCTACAAAAATGGCCGTTTCATGCCATTCAATCTAATAGCATTATTTAACATAGCATGTTCTTAAACTTTAAGAACTGTTGAAGCATGTACATCCCATTCTAAGAGTTGCTTTTTTGCCTTCAACATTCTTTTGCAGCTTGAATATGCCATCAACATTCTCCTGTCAAAGACCATTTAGGTTGTTCCCAACTTTTCCCTAATACAAACAGTGACACAATGAATTTCCTTCTACAGGTCTCCTTGAATACCTGTTTGAGAGATTCTTTACAGAATAAATGTAGATGTAAAATTGTTGGGATCCAGCACCACCACCACCATTGCCAAAGATCACCAAACTGCTCTCCTAAGTGTTTTTATACCAATTCATTCTCCCACCAGTAGTGAGTGAGGTTTTCCATTTGGCCACATCTTCATCAAATACTTGGCATTACCAAACATGTAAGTTTCGGGTGACGGGTACATTTTATTGGTGAGGCTGACCCCTTTTTTTTGGCTGTGCCACACAGATCATGGGATCTCAGTTCCCTGACCAGGGATCAAACCCGCACCCTTGGCAGTGAAAGCACAGAATCATTGGACAGCCAGGGAATTCCTAGGGGATGAACATCTTTCATCTTAGTTGGCTTTTAATGTTTCCGTACCTGTTTCCCTACTGGGTAGTCTTTTTCTTATGCAAATTCTGGATATGTTCTAGATGCTTATTTATTGCCAATTATAGCATAGCAAATACTATCTCTTAGCCAAATATTAGTACAGCTGATTTTGACCTTTACTCTTGGCATCCTATTCTACAATGATTTTTAATTTTAAAACATTGCTCCATGTTTTCTGCATGTCATGTTTTAAGAAAATCTCCCATATACCTACATTTTACAGTTTACAACCCTGTTTTTTCACATTTACAACTTAACCCAGAATCTTTTGTTTGGTGTGAACATGAGATCTAACTTGATTCCCCCTGACATAGATAACTTATTAAACCAGGCCTGTGCCTAGTATAGTCCACCTTTCTCCGACTCCCACTGATTTCGATGGCATTTTTACAGTCCATAGAGCACCCATAAATAACACAAGTATGCTTTGGAGGTCTCTATTCTCTGTGGTTGGTTTATTATCTGTGTGTCCCTGTGTGAATTCCACATTATGGCTGTGAATATCTTGTGGTCTGGTAGGCCTTCTCACTCCCACTTCGTTCTGCCATAAAATTGTCTTGGCTCTTCATACCTCTTTGATCATCTCTATGATTTTAGAGTCAAGATTTCCTATTCCAGGAAAATCCTTGTTGACATTTAGGGTTTGAGTGACACTGAATGTATAGAATAAAATGGAAACAGCTGACTTTGCATTACTGAGTCTTTACATCAGGAATGTGGTTAAGCTCTTAGTTACCCCAGGTGCCTTTTATGTCAAATAATCTCCTATAACTTACTGTGTTTTCCCCCTAGCTTTTAAGTTGAATACTTAAGTCCTTTCTTTTAATGTTTTTTTTAATAGAGACATTTAGGAGTATGGGTTTCCTTCTTGCTTTCAAATTGTTGAGCATACCAACGGAGGGCACTTCTGTTATTTGGTACCCGGCAAATGATTAGAACTCTTGGTATCCTCCTTCCAGATATAATGAACACCAAAATAGGATGGTAGATTTCTATTGTTCACAGATGTTATTTCATTGGGTTAGAGAATGTCCTAGCCACAAAGGTGGAAGATCTCTATCAATGAGAAAGGACACGAGAAGTAATGAAAAAAACTCAAGAAGTAATGAAAAACTCAAGAAGAGTTTTTCCCTTGTCCAGTTGGAGGAGGAAAAATAATCTCATGATCAGGCTTCCCGTTATGGGTGTGTGCTCAGTCGTGTCTGACTCTTTGCGACCCCATGGACTATAGCCTGCCAGGCTTCTCTGTCCATGGGATTTCCCAGGCAAGAATACTGGAGCGTGTTGCCATTTCCTACTCCAGGGGATCTTCCTGACCCAGGGATCAAACCTGTGTCTCCAGAGGCTCTTGTTTTGCAAGAGGGTTTTTCCTCTTTGGAAAATGTTTTCTGTTGCTCCATACCTGGAATGAACATTCCTCAGGGATGGCACATCTTCCAGAACGCCCAGTTTCAAAATGCTGGACCTCCACACCAAATAAGATTTTTATTTCAATCCAATCTAATCTCTTTTTTTGTTTTTGTTTTACGTTCTACCCAGGGAAGATACCCCAGAGGAGGGCATGGCAACCCACTCAAGTATTCTTGCCTGGAGAATCCCATGAGCAGAGGAGCCTAGTGTCACAAAGAGTCAGGACATGACTGAAGTGACTTAGCATGCACAAAGATTTACACTATACCTAATGTTACCAGTTTTCCAGGAATTTGTTTCAAGTAATGCAGGGAAATCAGTCAATGATCTTTTTCATTTACAGAAATATGCTCTATTTGTATTGACTGAAATTCTGTCTGCTATCAATCTTCACAGAGAGTTATGTGTGTAGTCTGTTTCCTAGCAATCTGCTCTGACAAAGCAGTAATAAGAAGAAATTTATCAAAATAAGTTTACCCTTAGCTAGATTCTGTACATAGGTCCTCTGGGTGTAAGCCAACACAAGTAGCTCATGTTAATTAAATCCAATTTCTGGCCACTTAACTGACAATCATCTAAATGTTTCTGTGAACTTGAAGCATCATCCACTCTTCAGAGGGTTTCATTTGATAGAAATTATCATCTATTTTTTTCTGCTTGAAGTATCTGCTAAAAGAAGTCCACCTTCATTGAAATATCCCAACTGACAACACCTTTTTATATGTAGAATCCTATTCAAAACTCTTTCTACCAGAGTGGATCAACCACAATGATCTTTTTGAAAACATTGCTTTTAGACATGGGTTTCAGAATAGTACAACAAACGACTACTGTCTTACCACTTATTTCTCACAAAGTTATCTACCTTTCCCAGAGAGGTGTTTGTCTGGGCCTAGTTTTCCACGAAGCTCTCCTTTAATGAGTTATTTATAAGCGCCCTTGTTCAGAAACCATGGTTTAATATATACAACACACTGCATTTCTGTTTTTATGTTTTCCAGTGAAAAACAGAGAGAACTCATTTGAATCAGTCAGGACTTCCCAAAGCTGAGCTGTAAAGAATACCAATTGCTCTACACAGGCCTTTCTTGCCTTCCCAGATGTTTGAAATTTCTCTCAGGAGACCGTTTCCTTAAAGACTCACATCACTCTTCATTTCTGGAAGATTCTCGGTGGTTATTGCTTCTCTGCCATTTCCTCCCTTCTCTTCTTCTGAACCTTGTACTAGGTATATTTTACAGCCTTATGGTTCATTCCCTATCTTCCTTAATTGCTTATTTATATTTATCTGTTTTTCTTACTGCTGTGTATAGTGAAGTCCTCAGAATTGTTTTCAATTCCTTACTTCCTCTGGGTCCAGCCTAGTTTACCATGTCTATTGAGTTCAGTGGGAAGGTCCCCTGGAGGAGGGCATGGCAACGCACTCCAGTATTCTTGCCTGGAGGATTGCATGGACAGAGGAGCCTGGCAGGCTCCACTGCATGAGGTCGCAAAGAATTGGACATGACTGAATGATTAAAACTTCAACTTTTTCATATAAGTGAGTATATGTATGTCTCTCTCCAGGTGTGTTTTGGCAGGACCCTGATTTCAAATATCTGGCTCTGTGCCCCAAGCTGGTGAGGAGAATTCTGTTGTTTAGTCACTAAGTCATGTCCGACTCTGCATTTTAATTACTGCTATTCCAACAGGAGTTGAAAGTTCACTGACTAAGCCCCACATACTACTGCCCAACCCACCATTTTTGGTCCACAGAGATGTTTATCTTGTTTTAAAGCACAGTTATGACTTTGTAATTTTTTTCACTCCATATATTACCTACCACTGGAAAAATGGAAGAAGCAGAAGACGCCGCCTCAAAGCAAAAGCTAACATTATATTAATCAGAAAGTTACCAGGACGTGTTGATTTTGTAAATATCTGATCAAGGTTTCCTCGGCACTCATTCAAATCTAAATTTACCACAACAGGGTCCAATGAACCAAACAAGTATCTTCCCCTAAACAAATATGTGGCACACATAAAACTTCTATTAGGCTGAATAACAGGCCTGATTTTGAAAGAATACTTTTTTCCCCTGAAGTTCTGAGGCATGACAAGCTATCATGGCAAAGATTAAAAAAGCCAGAAATAGCTCAAAAGGAGGTATGTTCACCAGAAACCAAGTAAAATATGAAGTTTTTCGAGCCTAAATTCTCTTTTACAGGTATTTATACATTTTCAAGATTACCAAGAA